TCACTTTCGACATTTTCATTTTGCTAGGGACATGGCCATTCTTAAAGCTCAAATTGAAAATATGGAGCAAAGGTGTTATAAGCTCGTCCTTGCAATACTTCACCATCAGCGAAGAAAACTCATCAAGACCCGATGATGTTTTGTTCTTCATATCCGAAATTATCTTGTGAAGCTCTTCCTTTGTAATGGGGTTTAGAATGAAAACAGGGGCCTCAATTTCCCATACCCTAGATTGCGTGTACTCAGTATCTTGAAGTCCATTCTTCTTTAGTGTTTCTTCAGCTATTGATGTGAAGTACTTGTTAAACTCATTGGAGATTACCATAGGATCGTCAACTCTTGTGTCCCCTAGGTTGAGTCTTTGAATGTAAGAAGTTTCTTGTTTTTGCTTCCGTTCACTATTAATGATCTTCCAAATGGCTTTTCCTTTGTTATTTGATTCAGAGATCAAAGTAATACTTGCTTCTATTCTAAGTGCACGCAGCTTCAAATCATATGACTTTTTAAGATTATTAGCAATTTCCTTGTCTGCTCTACTACCACTTAGAACATATTTGTCATGAGCTTTCAGAAATCGTTCCCTCAAATTGGAAGCCTCCGCAACACATTCTTGACTGGCCCATTCGCCCTTCTTCGGGTTCTTTTCAAAGAATATGAACTATTCAGAGCCTGTGTAATCAAGGTGAGGAAATTGTTGTAACTTTCCTCAATATTGTCACATTCTAAGACTTCAGCCCATGACTCATTAGCGAGTAGTTTCTTTAGATCTCCTAGACTATTGGGATTCATATGCCTGCAAGTAGTTGAGATAAAGGAGTTTTCTCTCACTGCGAGATTTAATTCGCAGAACTGACCTGTGTGATCTGAAATACCAGTTTGTTCCACATGCACTCTCAATTTGTCCTTGCATCCAGAAGAAATACAGATCATATCAATGGAAGAAATTGTGTCATGCGTAATGCGAGTTGGAGGGAGATTAATCCTTTCAATGTTGTAGGCTGCCAGTAGTTCTTTAAGTTGGGATCTTTCTGTAGAAGGTTGGAGGGAGTTAACATTAAAATCTCCAATGATTAAGATGACTATGTTCCTGGTATTTATCCAATGATCTAGGATGGTTGATAGAGTCTGTAGGGCTAAGAGGAAGGATTCCTTGTCATGTTTAGGTGGGCGGTATATACCCAGAACGTAAAGGCTTGATTTCCTATCTAAGTTTATTGCAACAGCTGATACTTCACATATCATGGGTGTGCTTAAATGCTCAACATTCAATGAGGAGATTTCATTTTCTAGGTTGTCTTGCTTGTATATTGCCACTCCTCCTTTAATAGTATGGTCTCTACAAAAAGCAGACACCAGACTATAGTTCATCAATTTAGTGTTAGATATAGTGCTCGTACTTTGACCATGCTCAGTCACTATGACCAAATTAGGACTGGTTTTATTGAGCAAATGATTTAGCCGGTCGACTTTATTTGCTATTCGGTCAGTATTTTGATGAAATATAGTTAAGTTCTTGTTCCCATTGCTGTTGAATTTCCAAAGCTCGTTCTGATATTGTTGGGACTCTTCAATTTCGTCTTCTTCCTGTGACGTTCTTCTAAAAAATTACGAGAATCATTCACTCCAATCCCAGTCAAAAGATCTGCATCCTCATGTCCCGCCGAGTGAGAGTTTCGTCTTGTGTACTGTGGCACTGTATCCTAGCGGTGGATGCCAGAACTTATGCTAACTACAGCACTGCTGTTGGTCTATATTTAATTCTTATATTATTTATACAAGCAAACTACAACAGTTATAACTACATCTTCATAAGAATAACATGGGAGTTTTAAATTCACAGTTTATTTGGAATTTTCTTCGTAAAAATTAAGCGCATGACAATGCTTCAATATACTTACTTACTTACTTACTGCCATGGCCACTTGTACCCTAGCTGGTACTTGGCCTCGCCAACACGCTGTCGCCAATAGTCTCGGTCCCATGCATCTTCCTCTACAAGCCTCATCCTTTCCAAATCTTTTCGTACTTGACCCCACCTACTTCAACTACTAGGCTTTCGGTCTACCTATTGGTCTTCTTCCCCTCGGATTTCCTCTGAGTGCTATCTTCAGTAGACTCTCCTCCTTTCTCCTTAGGATATGGCCAACCCACCTTAATCTTCTACTCTTAACTTCTCCAATGATATCAGGGTCTTGAAATAATTCTCTTAGCTCCCGGTTGTGGCGGATTCTCCATACTCCATCTTCACATACTGGCCCATATATAGTTCTCAAAACTTTGTTCTCAAAAGTTATTATTTTCTTTTCTGAATTCTTGCTCAGGATCCAATTTTCCCCTCCATATAAAAGTACAGGTCTTACTATAGTTTTGTAGATTCTAATTTTTGTCTTTCTCGTTAAAAGTTTTGATTTCATTAGTTTACTGCATGCGTACCAACTCTTATTTGCTAAATTTATCCTATTCTGAATTTCCATGTCTTCCGTATTTTTGTCAGATAGTAGAACGCCTAGATAGGTGAAATTATTTACTCTTTGGAATTCATGGTTGTTGACTTGAAAAAACTCTTCATTATTTCCAGCTTCTCCTCTTGTTACTATCATGAATTTGGTTTTTGCATCATTTATTTTTAGCCCTACATACTCAGTTTCATTTATTAGTATCTCCGTTAAAACCCTAAGATCTTCTTTTCTTTCAGCCATCAGTACTACGTCATCTGCAAAAGCTAATATATTAATATTCGTTCCTAGTTTTAGTCCTATGTGTGCATCTTTTATTGTTTGTAGGGCTTCCTCTAGAGCAATGTTGAATAGGAGGGGGGAGAGTCCATCCCCCTGTCTCACCCCCGTATTCACATTAAATTTAGTTGTGGTTTCTCCATCTATCTTCAATTTACAACGAGAGTTTGAGACACATGTGGTTACTAATTTAATAAGCTTATCTGGTATTCCGAATTTTTCCATTTTCTCCCATATCTTTGCTCTGAATAGGCTATCATACGCTTTTTTGAAGTCTATAAATAAACAATAGCATTCCTTGTTGAACTCCCAGTACTTTGCTAAGCATTCCTTAAGTATAAAAATCTGATCCACAGTGGACCTGCCTTTGGTGAATCCAGCCTGCTGTTCACCGACAAAGGAATCCATATATACTTCAAGTCTTTCTATATGTAACATTTAAAAGAGATATTCCTCTATAGTTATTACATTCTTGTTTATCCCCTTTTTTATGGATGGGCACTATTAAAGCTTCTTGCCACTCTGTAGGAATAGTCTCTTTATCCCATATTTCATTAATTAACCTATGTACTTTGTCTATTATTATCTGGCCTCCTGCTTTCAGCATCTCTGCTGTCACCCCATCTTCTCCGGGTGCCTTATTGTTTTTGAGGTCGTTTATTGCACCCTTTACTTCTTCTATGGACGGATTTGGTACAAAAGGTTGTACATTCTGAAATGTAGCTCGTTCTGTGTGATTTGTATCCTCTTCACCATTTAATAGGTCGCAGAAATATTCTCTCCATACTTCTAGACCCTCGGCTTTCTGTATAATTACTTGCCCTGCTTTGTTTTTTATGCCATATGCATTAGGTTTGAATCCTTTTTTGAACCATCTAATTCTTCGATAGAATTCTCTAGAGTTGTTAGCTGTTTGGTCCTCTTCCGTCTTTTCCAGCAATCTATTTATCCATTCTCTTTTCTTCCGTCTGAGAATTTTTACTGTTTCTTTTGCTTTAATCTCATAGTTCAATATAGTTTAATCACAATGCTTCAATATAGCCTACCAAATTATTTGTTAAAACATCAGATCTTTTTTGCTCGAGTTATCGTGCTAACGGACACATGAAATTGAACAAATGGTGTTTTTGGCCCCTGGGGACCTCATAACAAATAAAAAGTAAATCCATCCCGGGTCCAGGTCTTACCATGAGATCTACGGTAATAGCTTAATCCCTGTAATTCGCTAAGATGTTACAGATCTAACTAAATACATTGTGTAAATTAAGTATTACAACAAATCTGTATTTTTAAAACCGAAATAGATAGAAATATTCTGTTTCTAAAATTGATTATTAACATAGGTTCCGCAATTTTTTACATAAACAATATTTTTTCAACCTCTCTAACAGAGTGTTGGGTAGGGGTTGACTTATTTTTTTAATAACAACCCCTATTGAGTGACCCCTCATTTTGAATGGTGTTTGTTAAAAGAAACACAATGACGCAAACCCGAGGTAGATATTTCACCCCTAGCCTAAATTATGGGTAGGCCTATTCCAAAATTTAATTTATGTGAAAAAGCACCAATTTTGGAATACCCGCCATTTTAGCTAGGGGTGAGATATTCACCTCAGATTTGCATCATTGTGTTTCTTTTGACAAACCCTTCAAAATGAGGGGTCACGCAATAGGGGTTGCTATTTGAACAAACTAAGTCTCCCCCTACCCCACACTCTGTTAGGGGGGGGGGGGGGGGGTAAAAAATATTTTTGATGTATAAAATTGCAAAACCTAAAAAATACAGATTTGTTTCAATACTTAATTTACACACTGTAATAAACTAAATGTGGTGTGTTTTGAATGGTTAAAATATATCAAGCAGTGCTTGCTTTCTTGATTTTGAGGTACTAGAACTGACTCCGACCATGAGCCAGGTTGACCTCTAGGTCTTCCATTTTTCATTTAATTCCCTTGCACGATTTTTTCCTTCAAGCACAAAAAAAATTCAACAAACAATATGCAACATTAGTGTTTGTTTAGAAATTTGTGAATGAATACACTATATAATTGAAAATAAATTGTCCATGCTGTCCTTCAAACAAGCAATGCATTGTGTTTAATTGATTATTTATGCTCATTCAGTGATAGATTTAAAAGCACTTGATTTCCTCCATTGTGGTTGCTTTATCTTTTATATCCACAAAATACAACAAATGCTATAAATCATTACCATAATTTTTTTATAGGTTATTTTTATTTACTGATATTGTGTGGTCTGTCCAGTGGTACAAGGAGAACCGAGAGCTGAAGCGACGCAGCACATTCCTGATGCAGAGGATGATGCAGTTTGCTCCTGAAGGTGTGGCAGACTTACCAGCAGATGACACGGACTCTGGCCATGGCACTGACACCGACGACTTTGAGGAGCTCAGGAAAACTGTACAAGGTAAGCCTACAAGAACTACCTAATGGTCCTGATACTATGATTATAACTATAGTCATTCGATTATTTAACTGGAGATACAGTATTTCAATATCTACCAGTTACGTACAAAATATTTTGAAGTTTTTGTTAAAAAAAGACATTCTTGAGTTTTTTATAATTAATAACAATTAAAATTGACGATTCCTTTAATGCTTTTAGATTCATCACACATGCATTAAAATATGATGCGTGTCACATCATGCCTACAAACTCTCTCAGGCAGTAAGAAGGTATTTCTCATTATTTGGGATAGTTCTTTTGGAGCTAGGACTTATTCATTCAATTAAACATACCATATATTCAATGGAACCTATCTTTTATTCTTCGTTCACAATATTTCAGTGGCGGTCCCAGAATTTCATTTCGAAGGGGGGGGGGACAACCACCGGTGGCTGGGGGTATGGAATATCCCCCCCCCCCCCAGACAAAATGTGGAATTTAAAGACTAAAAATGTATTTTTATACATATTTTAGCTCTAAAATATGCTCAAGTTAACAGTATTTATGTTAGCTAATAAAATATAAAATATTCCATGGGGGGGATATATCTAATCTATATATATCTAATCTATATATATATAATACGCTAAGCCGATTTTTGTGAACAGAACTCCTCCCTCATTTATACAATTATTTCTTATTGAACTATCTTATATCTATTTTACGGGTTGGTGTCTACCTTTATTACCACTTTTGCCTATATTTTATTATATTATTCTAGACAGATCATCTTAGGTTCATGAGATTATTGTCATAGATGTTTTCAATCATTGGAAAAGTCTTTGATTGTGTAATACAATACAAAATAATACAAGTGCAGAAGGGCACGTGTCCATATGAGCCATGTCCATATTTTGTTAAATTAATATTAGTGTACAGCAACTGGATAAAACATTTTACAATATTTATGTAGAAATATGTGCATGATTTAAAAAGTCATTAAACTGGAAAACTGCAATTTACCGCAGACTTTTTAGAGAGGTTACTTCGATGTATTCATTCCGCTTAGTAAAAACATAATAAGGGTATATATGTATACAAATAAGAATTTCAACTTTTAGAGAGCATTTGAATGTTATTAGACTAACGAAGAGGGTTCTGCATGTTAACTATCGCTACTCAGCAACAAAAACCATTTAATTTATCTATAAAAAATATATTCTTAACTGAACTGAGCAGCAGCCTAAAATTACTATGTAACTTACTTATACAGTTACAAAATGCCCCAACTCACATTTATAATTCGGCTTATATTTCCCCAACAGATTTATTATCTGTAGAAGAAGTTCATTTGAGCTCTTATCGTGTCTAATAACATCCAAACACAGAAACCTTGCCTAGAATGGTGCCGGTACCTATCTTTGACAAATTATTTGCAGTGGCCTATATACGGACCAAGGCCCACTAGGTTGGTAACATTATTGAAAATAACATGACATTTTGGCTGTAAAAATGGCACAAAGAGTAAAAACGAAGAGGCCCCTAACCGTCGATTTCAACGGGTTTCTCCTAGTAATATAATAATAATGTAAAAATATTTTTATAATATATTTTCCGATACAGGCTGTGCCAAAAACCGAGGGTCACTAGTTCGAATCTTGGAATTTTCAAATGTAAACATATGTCATGTTATACATAATTTTAAAGGTATTTAATAGACAAACATTTTGGCGAAAACAGAAATGAATTATCTTTTCCTGTTTCAAAATGGCGGCAGTTTATTTGGAAAAAAATCAATATGTTATTAATAGTCTGTGTTTCCTATACCAATGCACTTGGTCCTACTCCTGTTGAATTTTCTTACTCATTATGAAATTAGCTTTACTGTGATATGCTACAAGTAATGTTTTTTTTTTTATAATAAAAATTAAAAAAAAATAATTTTTGAACATTGCAAATGCCAATTGTACAAAATTTTCAAATAGCAACATATGTCAAGATGGCACATATTTTTTTAGTTTTTTTTTTAATTCCTAACAACTTAAAAATATTTTTTTTTAATTTTTTTTTTTCAAAAAACTTTTACTTGTAGCAATCACAGTTTCATAACGAGTAAGAAAATTCAAACAGAGAAGGGCTAAGTACATTGGCATAGGAAACACAGAGTATTAAAAACATATTGATTTTTCCCATAAAAACTGCCGTCATTTTGAAACGGATAAAGATAATTAACTTCTGTTTTCGCCAAAAAGTTTGATTAATAAATACCTTTAAAATCATGTATAACATGACATTATGTTTACACTTGGAAATTACGAGATTCGATCTAGTGACCCTCAGATTTTGGCACACCCTGTATCGGAAAAAAGGGCAACATAATATTTTTATGTTATTCCTTGTGGTCGATTTAGCGGGAAATAATTTTATTTTATCCTTGTACGTTAAGCCGTACAAGGAGTTTTTCTGTAATCAATTTGAGACACCTTACGTGGGACACCCTGTATAACATTTAAAACTTGTACAATTTGCAGACCTGAACCAAGATGTAGCTAGACTGCAGGCGGAGGTGAATGCCGCAAGATTGCAGGAGTTTGAGGCTCAAGAGACTATCATGGATCTCACGGCTCAGTTGGACGAGGAACGAAGGTCAAGATCAAACCTGGAGGGTGAGCTCAAGGTATGCTACGGCACAAGTCTAGGGTGGAAATTGTCCCTTAGACCAAGCGATGAAATCTAACTTTACGGCATTTGCTATTGAGTTTATTTTGTGCTTATCTAAGCCCATTGCATTTTTAGGTTTTTGTAAGGGAAAACAGTCCAAACTATGGCCTTGTTACTGATACTATTTAACATCATCCTTTTGTTAGATAGCATCATTAACCGGCAAATGGAATATAGATCCAGAATCGATCTCTCTTGGATTGAGGAAAATGCCATAATCTAAATTATTTCCCATTTTTATTGGCTGGTTTTCAAACTACTGGCTTACAAATGGGAAGTCATAATATTTCTTAAGAAAAAATTTACATAATCACATAATGTTGGACACAGTGAGATAGCAAGGTTGTTGTAGGAGTTGCGAACGATGCGGGACAACCTCGGACAGGTGAGCAGACTAGTGGCAGCGGAGGTGACATCTCTCAGGGAGCAGTGTGAAAGAGAGAAGGAGACTGCACAGAGAATGAGACAGGATGCGGACAAAGTGAGTTGCATATTTCAAGGTCAAATGCATAGGTTGAGTTAAAATTAAAAACAAAAAGTTATATAAGTGCATTTTATACCTTAATGTTTGCAGTTATGGTAAAACAACTAAGTACATCTTAGCATGTTTTAAAAATCTCATATTATACCTCTTCACATACTGGTACACAAATTTGATAATGTGATAGAATATGACCCGTTTACTGGAGACTTTTTCAATCAGTATTAACTATTTTTCCCGTAAAGCAAGAACTCCCTATAATCTCGGGACACCCTTGTATTTCGTCAAGAAATCAGAAATAAAAAATATTGTCAGTTGTCAATGTTAAAAATGCACAGGAATAAAAAAAATGTTTGTGCAATTTCCTAAATAGACAGTTAGACTAGTGATATTACACACCTGTATTTGATAGGCCAAAAAGGAGCGCAATGTGTTAGCACACCAGAGTCAGCTGTTGATGTGCGACGTGGCTGCTGACCAGCGTCTCATGCAGGTCGTCTTGGAGGTGGAGAACCTCAAACGGTCACTAGAGGAGGAGCAGCAGAGACATGCAGCGGAAATCCAAGCGTTACAAGTATGACACACTCTTAGTCTAATTAGAAACATTTAATTGTAAAAGGATATGAACAATTGTTTGACAGAAAATTGTTAAAGTTATAAATGCAGAATTCTATATACAGTGTAATCAACTCAAGGAGGCCACCATTGGGGTATCGGAAACGGTAAGAATTAGAGAAAACTTTAAGTGGGAGACATTCCTTTTTTTGTAGCAGTAAAAATTTGAATTCAGTTTTTTTAAATTCAGCTGCCATTTTCCAACATGGCGGCCAACTTTGAAATTTCTTATTGAACACCCTATATATTTTATCATGTTTTCGGATAGAACATGCAATATAAAAACTTGTTTATTCCAAACACTTTTTTTATGAAGCTATTTGTTTAGGAAATGCAGCCTAGAAAAAATTACATCCGGTGAACATTTTGCATCATGTGGCTCCTAAAAGAGTAAGTTTCAAAAATATTGATTCCATTATTTCAAAAATTTCCACCATTTTCCAAAATGAGTCATTTTGGAACGTCTGAACGTAGATGCAATTTTAAGACTTATTTACTTTTAGCATTTTCACTCTAAACTTACTCGTTTTGGAGCTACATGATACAAAATGTAATTCAAATTTGCATGATGAATATATGTAATCAACATGTTAAGATGCCTTGGATTAATGTTATTAATCAACATATCTTTATCTAACTCCAAAATATTATTTAACATTGCTATTAGTTGATCCGAAGTCTATAATAGCAGGTTTATCTGAATAAAGTGTCTACTCTGGCACAAGACACAAAGAACTTAAAAATATGTGCAAAAATAAGATTTCACTGTCACTGACAGCATTTGCAACAAAAGACGGTTTTGATTTGGGCAATGCTGGAGTGAACTCTTTCTCAATTTGGTAAGCCTGCTATCTTACAAACATCCTTAAAACCTATATTGACAGGGCCGCAGCTAGGAGGGGGGGGCAGGGGGGGGTCGTTTGCCCTGGGCAGGAAAATTTAAGCTGCAGTGTAATTTGTTTTAAGCCTTACGATACAAAAATTTTTATTTTGCATACTAAAGTGGTCTAGCTAATACAATGAAAAGGGCTTTTAAGGAAATATTTATATGAACACGGTGGTGAGGTTCAGGGATGGAAACGGCGGACATGACTGCTCAAGGTTAAAATTTGTTTCTTGTATTTACAGGCATGTGTAGAGTGGAGTGCCGCCACCCGCGCCATTCTTCCCCTGATCCCCTCTCCGCTCCTTATTGGCACCTATATTTTGTTTTAACATATATTTTTCTTAAATTGCTTTTATTTATATCTGAAATCGTCGTGGTTTCTAAACGATCATAGCAGAAGCGGATCCAAGAATTTGTCGAGAAAGGGGCGCATCGCTCTTACAATTTTTCTTTACTCGATTCAATATATATTGACAAAATAGTAATGAAGGGTTCAAATTAACCCTATTTTTTAGGCTGGGGTTCGGTTTACTGATTTAAAAATAAACCAAGAGATTAAGGATTGGTAAAAAATGTTGCTTTTTGTTTATTGGTTAACAAGCAATAATTTTGACGTGGTCGCGGGTGACCTCAACAAGTTTTGGCCTAGGGCTGCAGCGTTTTGTATAAAAAAACGCATTTTCTAAACAAAAAAAAGTTTCATAAATGAATGATTCGTAACTCTTGCGAGTAATGATAACGATGTCCCCGTGAGAGCGGGAGATGTCAACGTTATTTTCTGTTTATGATGTCCCCGTAATGGCGAAAGAAGTTGGCGATTTTGCCGCAATTGCGAGTGACGTTAATCATGTCCAGATGATAGCGGGAGATGTTCACGAATCACCATTCAGCCGCGATCACAGGTGGCAATAACGATCTCCCCGTAATAGCGGGAGGTGTTCACAATTCTGCCGCAATCGCAAGCAATTCTTTTGCATTTCTTTTCCCCCTGCAACTCTTGGCTGGATCCGCCACTGATCATTAGACAAGACAATCAAAGACTCAGCAAGTATCATCTCAATTAACCATGTAAGATCGGAAAAAGTTCCATTTTCTGACATCATCAAGTTGTTTGCTGCTAAAAATCAAGTAAAAATCTAATTTAATTATTTTTTCAAACGTAGGCCTATTGAGGAACTTTATATATGTTCACGGTAATTTAATAACCAAATATTAAAGAATTTGTTTCATTTGTTTTTATAAAAATTGTACTGAAAGTAAAATGTCATTGGTACTAATAAAAAATCCACAGTTGCGTGGCGAAAGGGCGGAAAATTTAGGACTTGCCCCCCCCCCCCCCAGAAAAATAGGTACCTGCGGTCCTGTATATTGATAAGAGCCAGGGCTATGCAAGAGACCAACCACAGTTGAACTGGTTACACCCAGAACTCCTTTGTCATAGCACAACTTTTCCCCTAGGGTTATATCCAAGGATTTTCAAAACTTATTGATCATATTATCTATCTAGTATAGCAGATTACAACTATGATAGTTGGGTTTCCTCTACCCAAGCATTATGTTGTTTTAGGAAAAATTAGATGAAAGGGATGGAGAAGCTCAGCTTGAACTTTTAGAAGAAAAACTTAAGCTAGCTGAAGCTGAACTGCAGTGTGCCTTGCAGAGAGCAGAGAGAGCAGAAAACATGACTGAACAGCTATCTGACAAAGGTGAATAATGGAAAACTTGTAATTTTTTGGTGGAAATGAATCAATAAGATCTCAACAGGGCCGTCCCTAAGGCTGGCAGCGCCCGGAGCAAACGTGGTTGTGGCGCGCGCCCCTCCCCACTAATAATAGTCACATTCGCATATTTTAATACTATGTTAATACAAAGAGCCGCTGCGCGGCGCCCCCTCAGCCACGGTGCCCAGGGTAGCTTGCCCCGGTGCCCCCTCCCCCCCCCCCTTCGGACGGCCCTGGATCTCAATTGTTTTATTGAGTAGGCCTATGCTTCTCTTCAAATCTGAAAAAGGTAATATTATTTTCAGCCAGAAAAAAGTTTACTAGCACAAGGTTGTAATGATATTTGCAGAAAATTACATAGCAATATTTATAAGCTTAGAAGATTTATTATGGTGCTAACAACTATATATTAATTATCACCTGTGAAAATTCATCATTACATTCACATTGTTTACTATGTGTCTACTATCGGATAACAGACATAGATTGTTACAACAGATGTTAGAAAGAAAAAATATGAGGTACCTTGTCGTTTTCCTAACAAGAGTTACAGATAATTCAGAGACAGCAATAGATAACTTTTTGATAAAAAATATTAAATTATCTAACTTAAAGGTAGAAGGTCTGGTTACTTTCTTGTCTGACCATGATGGACAGCTATTAAAATTAAAATGCCAAAATTCTATGAAAACTGTAAATTTGCCAATTAAACAAGAGTTGAGAAAATTTTCACCAGAAAACATCTTTTTACACAATTAATTGCTTTCCAATGAATCTTGGTTCGATGTCTATAATTCCAGCATCGAAACAAAGTATGATGTCTTTTATAAAATTTTTTCTTTTTATTTTGATCAGGCTTAAAGAGAATCTTAAAGAGAAATAAAAAACGTACATGGATAACTAAAGAATTAAAGATTAAACAACAGCATATTATTCAACTGACTAAGGAATATCGTAGTAAAAAAAGTATTAGTTTAAAAGATTGTTTACATCAGGAAAAGATTACTTATAAAAGAGAATTAAATAAGGCTAAACACAGATATTTCGAAAAAAAATTGGTAATTCCCAAAACATTCAGAAAACTGTCTGGAATATAATCAACTCTGAAGTTGGGGAAAATGACAAAAAACCATTAAAAAATATAATTTTAAAACAAAATTCAGAAAAAATGTTAGACCCTAGTAAAATTGCAAATATGTTTAATGGTTATTTTAGCAACATGGTTACAGATTTAAATTTAAATCGCAACAATCAGAATGTGCCGGCTGATGTGAAAGCTGATTTTATCGATGGCTTGTTTGTAAAACCAACATTTGAGCTTAAACCTATCACTGAAAGGGAGGTGGAAAAAATCATTCAATCCTTAAAAAATAAACATTCCAGTGGGCATGATGAAATTCCTGTAACAATAATAAAGGCTGCAAAAACCTATATCACCAAAATTGTATGTCATCTGATCAATTCTTCGTTTGTATCAGGCATTTTTCCTAGCAAATTAAAGCAGGCAAAAATAATTCCTTTGTACAAAAAAATGACCCTGAAAATATATCCAATTATCGCCCAGTATCTGTTCTTCCCTCAATTTCTAAAGTGTATGAAAAAGCAGTCTACTTACAATTATCAGAGTTTTTGGAGAAATTTAATATTTTGGATGATAATCAGCATGGATTCCGGAATGGAAGATCAGTTGTGAGTGCAGCTGTTTCTTTTATCGAATCAGTCATTGATTCAGTAGACAAAGGACATTATACAATTGGCAGATTTATGGACCTTTCTAAAGCATTTGATAGTGTAAAACATAGTAAATTACTAGAAAAACTAAAAATAATTGGAATATCTAAAAGAGCTCTTAACTGGTTTTCTTCCTATTTGACAAATAGATCTCAATTTGTGGAAATTACTCATTTGACAAATCATAATAGAATTATTAAATCATCATCAACTTATCAACCAATTAAATTTGGGGTCCCACAAGGTTCAATTTTGGGGCCTTTGCTTTTTTTTGTGTTACCTTAAGGGCATGGAAGATAATTTAACCTACAAGCAAAATTCTATATTATGTCTTTACGCTGATGATTCTAATTTGATTGTATCATCTAAATCTCCAGAAGAAACTGAAATGTTTACATATGTAGAATTAGAGAATATTGGAAACTATTTCTACAATCATAACTTATTATTAAATTCACAAAAAACAAAATTTATTAATTTCAGAACAGTTCAGAACAAAATTACAAAAGAGCCAACAATAATTTACAACTCAAATAACATTAAAAAGGAAAATCTGATCAACTTTCTGGGTTTAACAATAGATGAAAATTTGAATTGGGATAAACACACACAGAACCGGAATTTATGCATTGTCAAATATGTCCTTTTATTGTAATTTGAAAACCCTAAAAAGTATATATTTTGCTCACATCCACTCTCATCTTTCATTCGGTTTAGCATTAAATGGGTCAACAAAAAAATTTAATATGGATAGCATTCTGAAGCGGCAAAAAGAGGCTATCAGAATTATGCTTAAGCTTAAACGAGATGATTCGGCAAAAGAACATTTTAAGAAATTACAAATGTTTACAGTTTATGGGCAATATATTTATGAAACAATTCTTATTGCAAAAAAAAATGAATGTGAGCAAGTAATAAATTCAGTACATTCTTATAATTTCAGGAAAAGAAGAGAGTTTGTCCAGCCTCACAAATTAAAATTTTTTGAAAAAAAAACCCTCATACGCTGGTAACGAGTTTCTAAAATTTGTCCCTGAATTGGTAAAAAAAGAAACAAACCTATCTAAATTCAAGAAAATTCTAAAAGATTATTTAATAAATTTAGCATTATATTCTTTTGAGGAGTTTTCCACCTCCCATACATAGATATAGTATTTTTATTTTAAGTATTCTGACACTATTCACTGTACCACCAATGTACATGACTTATGATGAATAAAGATGTTTGAATATGAATATGAATATATGGCAAAAGAATGTTTACTATGCGAAGTAACGTTAACTATTTTTTTTTTTTTTTCGCCAACGTAAACAAACAAAGATTTGTTATTGTTTGGTCAAATGTTTTAATTTCCAACAACCAAAACTGTACAACCAAAGTATATATGAACTGTAAGTTATAACCTGAAAAATGCCATGAGTTTTGTAATGTTCAAGAAAATAACTATTCTTTGTAGTGTAGCGAAAAGTAACAATCAAAACACGAGTAAGAGTGGGTTGATACATATTCTCGACCATTTAAAATGCTCCATAAATCTCGCACTTCAAACATGGTCTAAAATATGAAATTACTCACTTCCTACTCCTTGTTATGAAATGTAGTATTACCAGGATTATTTTTTTCTAAGTGTCCAATCTGGAGGAGAAGCTAGAGAAGACCAGCAAGGCCCCTCCACCTCCTCCCCCTCCGCCACTGCCACCGCCACCTCCGCCCATGCCACTGCTGACACCAGCCACTGTGACCTTGAGGCGACGTCCCAGCTGTGACGGAGCTGAGGCCCCCGTCCCTAGCAGTGCGGTCCTGGAAATGGCCAATTTGCTGGGGATATCAAGGAAGAACACAAACACTCCTCCAGTACCTGGTAAGTAAGGAACTCATTCGAAGAGCTTCATGGGTCAAAGGGAGTAATCACCAAGGATATCTCTAATAATGAGCTTACATTTTATAATCTATGTAAAGTATGTTGAGCTATGACTTACTCCAATGCTGGGATTAAAATGTTTAACCATCAAACCAAATAAAGACATAATTATTGACAACTTAAAGACTTATTTTCATAGGTCAAGAAACTACACAACATCCATGACGGATTTGTGATAATTAAACTTGTATAATAAAACCATTTCATTTTCATATTTAGGTTTAAAATATTACTTTCCTTTGAAAATGATTATTGCAGAAGCTTTTACAAATTAATTGTTGCCTGTCTTAGGCCAAGCAACCCCTTAGAAAGGGTATAAATGTAAAATTTTCATGTATCCATCAAATCAGTAAAGAATGAGGGGGGAAAACTCAGTCTAATGGATATGTTTGTCGGGAAGCTCACTACAGTGGTAGTGATATATGGCTGTGAAAAATTGATATCGGTTTGGAGATTGCAAGGTTAAGAGTGTAGCTTTTTCCATCACAAAATCCTTGACTTGATATGAATCACTTTCCACCCTCAGACTTCAGCTATGCTTGGAATAGAAGTAGTATTGAGGTCTGATTTATTTACTTTCATAATCATTCAAATTATGTATGTTTAGGGGCCATCGACGACATAATCAACCAGATTAAAGGTGGGCGCTTCAGTTTAAGATCAACTGAGGTAAGGATGGTAATATTTCAAACTTAATTTTTGTGTACCGTAGTCTAGAATCCTTTTAAGGTTATTCCACGTTGATTCTGTAGCCTCCTCTACGAGTGGGTGACAATATTGATTCAGTTACTGTGTCACTCTTCAGATCCCTAATTGTCAAGAATGCAGGCTTCGCTCATATTGAAGTCTTCAAAATATTAAACACATGCTTGAACATTAAAAATTAATCACGTTAAATACTTGACAACTGCTATTGCACCTCTTCTAATAAGTACTCTTTGCTTATCCTTACTCTGTGATTATTACCATTGTTGAGATTACCAATTTAGATAGGGATACCCCACCTAGTTCTGTATTTTAACCCAATTATGAGTGAAGGAGGTACTGTCGAATGAAGTGAGGTGCCTAGTATAGCTTTGTACACAAAACTAGAAACCCTCTAACCAACACTACTCCCCTGCTGGTTGCTACTAGCCAGGACCATTAAAAGTCCAACTATCAAGGACAGCTGGGTCCAGTTTTGAACCATCAAAAAGCTAATCACTTTTCTTAGGATCAAACCAGCGACCTTTTGACTTCTACCAGTGTTCTTTACACTAATGGCTTCAAGTGAGTTTCTTTACTACAAAATAATCCTAATACACATGGTAATATCAAGCAACATAAATTTATGTGTTATTTTTTTATCAGCCAAAGCCAAAGCCAGCCAAAGTTGATGAGCAGCCTCCGGTTGTCCAGGAGATGATCAACGTGTTAGGAACTCTGCGCAAGAGAAGAACTCCGAGCATGCGGCGACAGCTTGATAAGGCTCCCGCAGATATTCATCTTTGATCATCAAACCTTGTACTAGATCACAATGTAATTCTTCAAAATTTTTAAACAAAATTTTTTTTATGTTCAAGTTAAATTTCACACTCAAAACCTTTATGTAAGAGGAGTAAAAGGCTTAATAGAAAGGATTGCAACAATGCAAGACAAAACCTTAATCAAAATCAATTAATTTTGGTGTAATGGGCGATTAGAAGCTATTATGTTAGTAACGATCAGTTTACTGCAATTGAAAAGAAAAGAAAATCAATTACTGGTACCACCGATCATTCATCATTCATCAGTATTGTACATATGATGTAGTATTAGGTTCAAACAGTTTATTTTTAATAAATATTTAAATTTAAGTCTACATTTTGTTTTATTATTTATTCATCCCTTCACGTTGATTGAATCAGACTTAAGGATTATTCTTCTTGATTCATTTTGTATATTTCATACTTCCCAAACATATCAAATAATGTAAAATAGATGCTCTGTAGTGTAGATATATACTGCATAGATACACATTTTTGTTAAATATATTTTTATGTTTGGCCCACTTAGACAATGTTGCTCTTTCAACAAAACTAGACAGCACCTTTTGGAATGAAGGTGAAGGTAAGATTGCCTATTTTTCATTTTGAAAATGAGTCCAAGGGCTGTGTAAAAAATATAACCCTTCAGTGCCTTAATACAACCTAGCTATTAATATTTTGAAAATCACAAAAAAACATTCTCTTCTCCTCTCAAGAGAACTACAAATCAACCTCTACAATCACAACTAAACAGTACTTACTTCATTGGAATAAACATCAATAAACATCATCAGTCAGCTAATAATTTACAACTGCAGTATGGATTTGGAAAAATTGTTTGTGGGCTTCACTCACCTTTATTTTTAACTAGTGATATCTAGGACTCGTCATAAAACACATACATCAGCACAATCGTCCTTGGAATCTAAGCTGTAATTTTGCAGGACCCGAAAAACGTTCTGCTTCCTCAGGGTTTTTTAGCCTCCGCAAAACTTCAGACTTGATTCCATGGATGATTGCGTGTGAAATCACAGTGATGTGTGCGTTTCATACATCCACCACCGCCTAAATAATACATCGTCTAAGACTATGTCATTTAAAAAAGAATGATCTGGATTGAGTTCACAAGGAAGAGTTTTGTATTTTGAGTAAAATTAATCCTTTCCGAATATCCCTATAGGATGTTCACAAACTTTTATAAAGTACATGCTATAAAATTTTGTAAGAAATTTAACCATCTGCATATTGTTGAAAGGTGGACATCTTAGTAGCATTGATCATTAACATAAATAATAAATAAACAAAGGGCCAAGAAGCGAGCCCTGAGGAACTCCACTGTGGTTTAATGTTCCACTCTGATTTATTTCTCTGCATTTTTTGTACAATAAGTTTTTATTTTCGGGTTTTTAAATATGATATAAACCATTTTAATTCAGTATTTTTTTCCATGCATTCTTAATTTTTCTATGGGTATCTCATGATCTACACAGTCAAAAGCCTTGGATAGGTCACATAGCACACCCACAGTCTTCTGCGATCCGTCCAAGGCTTCCGCAATGCAGATAATCATTTTTGTTATGGATTTTTCAGTACTGTACCAAGTTCTGGACGGAAACCAAACTGTGAAGGATTTATTCAATTATTGCTTTCTAAATATTCTATTTGTTGAATCTTTACAATTTTTTCAAAAATCTTTGAAAAACAAGGCAGAAGGGGGATGGGGGCGGTAGTTAGAGGGATCGTTGACATCGCCCACTTTGAACAAGGGTTTAATCTCAGCAAAATTAAGCTTATCAGGAAAAACCCCCTCATCAAGGGGCTGATTTTCTATTTGGCATATATAGTACCAGACAGAAAGTGATTAACCTAGAACAAATTAGTTCAAAGGTAAACTCTTCTGGAATGTGTTTGGGACACACTCCTTAACATTTCCTGAGAATTCCCAAAAAATCTTGCTTCAGCAAAATCCTCCATCTTGGAAAATGGCGGCGAAACAAATTAAACCTGCAAGGTTTTACAGAAAATGCTATAACTTAAAATTTATTTGACTTATAACAGTCGTATGAAGCTGAAACTACTCTAAAGAAAGTGTACTTCATGAACATACCATATTCATTAGTATTTAATAGTATATGTTTAAATATATTGCAATGTTGATGTGTAATTTTATACAACAATATATTTGACTAAGGACGAAATATTTTATCACAATCACTAATAATTCTTAATACGAGTAATGCTAAGTTTATTTGTTTTTGATAAGTAGGAAACAATAACAATTATTATTCTATGGTTTTTAAAAGACTTTAATTGTTAGTGATGGCAATTTTACCTTAAATCTTGGAATTTTGCAGAAATTTACATATACAAACTATCTTAGTTAGGTAACTTTGTCTTTACTAATCGGTTTTGGCAAATGTCTATAAACATCCTACTATAATACCTAATACTGTAAATTAAGGGCTAATAAGATATTTTATATTAACCTTTATATTAACCTTATATTAACCTGTAATTGTTGACATGATATATTTTTGGTTGGTGGGCCGTGGGTAACAGCTAGTATCCTATAAATTGAAAACTTACAAATCAACGCAGTTGTCGTATTAATACATGTATTACAACAATAACATATCTCATCATCAATACCACACTCATCTTTCATTCATATTCCGGTTAAAATACACAGCCAGTTCTGCGTCTCTGTCTGGTAATATGATCTATGGTATATACTCTTTTTAAACGCATTGTTGTATAAAATTCACATTATTCGTCATAAAGTAAGTAGGTATTGTATCAAAGGTCAATAGATTTAACATAGAATATACTAATATTTACACAACTCATGTAATTTTATGATAAATTCACATTTACATTATTGAATTGATTTTTTTTATTAATCCAAAATTCAACAAAATTTGAAAGTAAAGCAACAGTTTATCCTCAGCCTAATGGATTGGTACCGTTATTATTGCAGGATTTTAGGACAATTAATTGGACTCAAAGTGACACATATTATTTTTAAGGCAAGACACAGTGTAACAATGAAAAGATAAAACAAAATTGCCCTGTTTAATTGTCAATATGTAAATAAAATCTCAATTCTTTGTCAAAAATATATCATGTCAACAATTACAGGTTAATATAAAATATCTTATCACCCTTAATTTATTATTATAGTAGGATGTTTGCAGACATTTGCCAAAACCGATTAGTAAAGAATAAGTAATGGTAAATGTCTGTAAAATTCCAAGATTTAAGGTAAAATTGCTATCACTAACAATAAGAGTCTTTTAAAAACCATAAAATAATAATTATTGTTTCCTACTTATCAAAAACCAATTAACTTAGCATTAATCGTATTAAGAAGTATTAGTGCTTGTGATCAAATATTTTCGTTCTTATTAAAATGCATCGTTGTATAAAATTTCACATCAACCAACGAATTTCACATATTTGACTGTGAATTTGGCAGTGGTTAGCAGATTGATTGTTGTAGGTCGGCCGCGGTGCTGAGCCGCCACGGCACTACGCGCTGCGCCCCACTAGCACAGAATATCCTCAGGATATCCCACAGAGTTCCCAAAACGTCCCAATAGCCCATGAGATATATAGGAACATCCCTGGGATATTCCAATATCCCATGGGATATAGGAATATCCCTGGGACATTCCTGGCATATTCCCGTTACAATAATTAATTTAATTTTTTGAGGGTTTTAGATCGAGGGACTTTTTTTTAACTACTATGTAACTACTCAAAACTTATATGGTACGTTATTACTCCCGGTATAATATTTTTGTTGGTAAATATTAGGAAATTAAACCTTTAAATCCGGACTAAATTGAAATTTTGCACAGTTAAGCACAGTAACTTAAGCCTAGTTGATGAAAATGGCAAAAGTCCCCACAAATTCCGGCTGTGCCTCAGCCGCATTTAGTTCGGATTTTAAGGTTGAATTTCCTAATATTCACCAACAAAATAATTCTACCGGGAGTAATAAGTAGGCCTACCATGTAAGTAGTTACATATTAGTGAAAAGATAGTGAGGGGGCTTTAAACTTTAATACTAATAAGGGAAAACTATTATTTATATGTCGAAAAATAAATTTCCATTTGTCTGACCGGATCATTACAAATAATTTATAAGTAAAAAACTTTTTTAAAACAAAACGTTTTTAAACACACTAAAAAGTAGAAAATAATTTATAAATATGTGGAGAGTATAAATACTTGTAAGATTTAAAACGAAAAACGTCGGGTGCATGCAATAGATAATTTACAATTACTTTCACCTATTGAACTAATGTATTATTATAAATTGCATGCACCCCACGTTTTTCGTTTTAAATCTTACAAGTATTTATACTCTCCACATATTTATAAACTATTTTCTACTTTTTAGTGTGTTTAAAAAGTTTTGTTTTAAAAAAAGTTTTTTTATCATAAATTATTTTCTACTTTTTAGTGTTTAATGTGTGTGGATGTTAAATCTATTTCAAGCATCCATATCAGATTAAGACAGAGGCATGTGGGAAATCTAAGGTTTATGGTTTATTTGAGTTTATTTTCATATAATTATGTATTAGATTGAATGTATGGCCTACCTACTAACTATAAATATATCAATCTATTTCATTTATTGTTTACTTTATAGAATATTATATAAATAACCATTGACATTATTAACAAACACCTTTATATCTGCAATCAGATTGTTTATCTTTATTTTGAAATGTTTGTTTGTGTAAAGAATCTCTTGTGAGAATAACCTGTACCTCTTAACCTCTGCTCTTCGAACTGTCAAATTTAAGTATTTTCAGCTGACTTAAATTTATTTTTTTTACAGCATTTATTTCTGGTTCAATGTAGACATTATACGATTATACACAGAAGTGTTAACAAAATTAATAAGAAATTAACTATAATAACATTGTGGGTTTGCCCAAACCTGAGACACCCTGTAACATAATTAATTTAGGGAATAATTTAATCGTCTTTAGGCTTCATCCATCCAATAGATCTTGAGGGAGCCTTCGACGTAGCCTCCTGTTCTCAGTTGCTTCACCAAGATGAAAAGTTAATGCACCATGGAACATTGTTTAAAGATTTTAGAAATTTTGAGGTGGTTTTTTCAATAAAGGCCGAGATAGACTCCACTCCTAGTTCTTCATTATTTGATATGTTTACATTCTTTCAAAATGTAAACTTGGAAAATCTGGAAGCCCATGGGGCGTAGCCCAAGGGAAATTTGTAGGAAAGCGAGCTAATAAAAACAAGCCCATGGGGCGTAGCCCAAGGGAAATATGAAAATTAAATTATATAATATTGCATT